TTGTTGTTGTTAAACTCAAGGTAAAGCTTCGCCTGCCGCATTCGTTGTTTCATGATGCTTGCGGAGGGTACTTGATAATTTCTAGTAAGTACATGTTCTTATTACAAAATTCCTCAATATCCTCGACTATGACGATCTTTTTTACTTACATTGTCAATTTTAATGCATCTTAGAGAGATTTAGAAGCAAAAGCAAGGGCCTATGTTAAGATACTTGATGTTGACACTATATGCTATGTAGGTCTACTAAACTTAGATTGTATGAACTAGTAGGCAGTTCATTCAAACGCCTGATCGAAAGCTCGTTATCAATTGTCACTGCTGTACAGTGGCTGTAGATTTCTAAGGGTATCCAAAAAAAAATAAAAATATAAAAATATAAAATAAAGATTGTATATTTTAGGACGAAGCTAATTCCTGGAGAGCGTGCACGTCAACACGTGCACTTGCTCGTCTTCCGGGTTATCCAAACACAACCACTAGCACTAGGGCTACAGTAGATATCTTCGAAAGCTTCTCAGTATAAACCACGAAAGGGCAAAGTCGACACAAAACACTTACTACAAAAAATAACAACGCAACCCGGATACTCTCTGGGTTCCATATATAGCACTTTCTCCGCTGAAGCGACCTTTGCTGCTTGAAATACCGCATAGCACCCATCATCTGGATATATATAGCAAATGCAAGCGATAAACAAGCCAGTACTTTCCCAGCCACGACAGAATCATGATGGAGGATGAACAGCTGAGCTGCGACGATCGCAAACGAAGCAAGCGCATTTGCCGTGCGAACATACGCTAGAAATGTTCTCTCAAGGGCTGTGCTTTTAGGTAAGTAAATGGAAATCAAGCTGCTATATCTTTTTGGAATGAAATACCAAGGAAGTCTCTCGGGTCTCCATCTTCAGCGGCCACTTTCGGGCGAATTTCGGTCAACCACCACTTGCGCAAGCGATTTCTATCCTGCATTGTATGTATTCCGTCGCTACGATCTGGCACCCTTGAATCTTCTTGTGGGGCGTCATTGATATCTTTTCTGCGCGGTGACGTATTATCTAACTCAACGCTATCCATTTAGCAGCGAAAGAGTAATCTTTTTAAATCATAGGTTATCGGGATCAGACCCACAGGTAACAGCCATGTCGTCCTCGAGACCTGCAGGTGTAGAATTTGTGGAGGTTGAAGCTTAATTAAACAGAGAAACTTGAAAGGTCTACGCGCAAGCCGTTCCCCACCTACTATCCGCCCAATAATAGGGAAAGATAACAATCGCATCGTCCGTGTATGGAGAACAATATTAAGATACCCTTAGGTCAATCGTTTAGATAATTCTTTGGTAGGGTAAGCGTATAATAACAGAGTAAGGGCGAGTACAAATATGACTACTCAGCTATTCCTTGCATGCCCATATTAAGCACATGTCCATTTCAACATTTCAAGTTGCACTTGACATACAGAGTACAGCTGCATAAATTTGTATTTCACCTCATCTGCATGGAATTAATGAGTCTGCGCTTTGTTTAAGAACCTCTTCAAAGTGATTCTACTAGTATGTGCCAAATGACGTCATATTCACATTGGGCTATGATACTTCTTGCACTACATTATAAAGTACTAGCAGAGTCCCGTATAGCTATGCTTCAGGTACATCATATCCGTACTTCTTAGTCTGTATCGCCACAAAGTCCTTCAGTCTTTCTTCTTTTTCGCGGACTTGTCCTGGTGTCAGGGTTCCGTAAGCTTCGTTGGCCTGCGTGACGACCTTTTCCTTCCAACTGGTCTTTTCATCTAACACATTTACTTTACCCAAATTATCCCACACGACCTGCATAGTGCCACCTAGCTTGTCCAGAAAAGCCTGGATCCCACCTTCACCACCTCCTTGCTGATAGCTTTCGAACACACCATTGCCCGCCCACCTTGGCCCAAGACTAGCCATCATGATTGTGTCGAGATCTTTTGCGCTCACGACGTCTTCCTGCACTAGGTAGCATGCCTCTCGTAGTAGTGCGAATGCCAGACGATTCCCCACAAACCCTGGGATCTCTTTTTGGAGTACCACAGGTCTATGCTTCGAACCAGGACCGGAGAAATACTCGCGAGCAAACTCTATCCGCTCTGGCGACGTATCAGGCGAGGGTACAATCTCTAGTAGTGGCATGATATGCGGCGGATTGAAAGGATGCACAACAAGCAATCGTGTTTTATCGTCCATCTTTTGTTGCTGGGCGGATGCGGCAATGCCAGACGTGCTGGTCCAGAGGTGCGCAGACGGTGGAGCAAATGATTCCACCTGAGCCCAGAGGGTCTGCTTAAACTCGAGGTTTTCGGGTCCTTGCTCTTGAACGATCGTGGCTGAGGCACAGGCGGTTTCTAGTGATGTATGGATATGTAAACGACCGGAGGCAACCAATGAAGCCACAGCTGATGTGGATGGTTGGGACTTAGAGTTGGCTGATGGACCTTGATCAAGGAAATTTGGCAATGTCTTGAGAAGAAACTGGTCGAAATCCGGTCTTGTGTCGAATACGTCCACTGTCACATTCTCACGAGAGAGGTGCAACGCGGCCATGGACATACCGATGGTTCCCAATCCGATCAAGGTGATCCTCTGAGGGTCCGTGGCCGACATTGTTCCGGGGGTATACTAGAGCCCTTGATATTGTGCTGGTGCGCGAACTATACCCCTCAATGGTAAAGTGAACCTTGGTGTGGTTAGAACTGGGCGGACCCTCCAGATCTCATAACGATTACGGAGTATAGTCGAATCCCTAGCCTCCCCGCTATTGACGGCGGCCCGTAGCCGCGTTGTATGGGGTACCACTACCCATGCAACCGAGGTCAACCACTGCACATAACTGACCATTAGGTCAAACTAGCCCAGTCAATGATATGTCAATGTGTGTCTTTTACTTGCTTTCTTAATGAAGATAACTGTAAAGTACTTAAGGTATCCTCAAATGAGCATACAAAGTCAAGGCGACTTGAAATTATTTGTCTTCATCCTAGCCAATCTGTTTCAGACAACTATAAACTCAAGAATATCATTATAATTAGCATGGTTGTGCTAGCACTGATTTTTGAACCACGCTGCGCGAGCAGTTGACATCTAAGCATGGGGAAATTGTGTTGAAGTCATTACTAGTGAGCCCTCCAAAGGAACTAAACCCGAAGCGGTTATACCTGAGTTTCGCGCAACGCGATTCAACACGCGCCGTCATCAGAAAGAGACTGACTTTATTCAGCTACCACCCTCAAACTAAGGTTTTATTACTTCCTCCTGTCCTAGACAAAATGGCGAGCGAAGGCGACTGTAATTACCCCTCTCATGCCTCACCATACCCGATAATTTAAGTTCCATTTTAGCTGACAAGAATCGTGTCGTCCAGGGACCTGCGACGCTAATGACGCCGTCCAGATCACTCTTGTCCAGCCCGGTGAACAAAAACCGAAGACGCTCTCTAGCTTCCATCCCCAGTTCACTTACCCGATTTTTGGTGATGATGAAACAATTTTCGGTTACAAGGGATTGATCATCCGGTTACGATTCGCTGCTCATGACCTCCGTCCGCATATCCATATTTCCTACGATGAAAAGTTCAAGACCGTGGGCGACACCTCAGCAGTTGACCTGATCAAAACATTAAACCCATTTATTCCGGAAGGTCAGTATACGGCTTGGAATCGGGCTGAACCACCCTATCATAGCTGACCAATGCGTAAACCTTCAGAGGCTTTCTCCACTCTTCCTGATTATGAAAACGCCATCCAAGAAGACAAAGATGCGAAGGGCTTTGTACCGCCAGGAAAGCTCGTCCATAACTATGTCACTCGAGGACGAACATACGAGATCTGGGCAGGGTCCCTCGCCGATCCTCAGGTGCGACGGCTCTTGGACCGGGCTCAGGTCTTCGTGTCCCTATTCATCGAGGCTGGAACACCCCTAGAAACGGAGGATCCCGAATGGACACTTGAGCGCTGGACAGTCTATTTCGTGTATGAAAATCTTTTCTTGTCTGAGGAGACATATCTGAGTATGGCTGACAATAACGAATGATCGCAGGTACGAGAAAGTGAAGCCTCCAAGTCCTACAGCTTCACAATATTCTATCGTCGGATATGCGACAACCTATCGCTGGTGGTTCTACCAGAGGGATTCCCCAGAGAAAGCTACGGTCACGAATGACGCATTCCCAGGTCCCGAAATTCGGCCTGCACAGCTACCAGCCCGACTGCGGATTGCCCAGTTTCTGATCCTCCCTCCTCACCAAGGCTCGGGACATGGTACCCATCTGTATACAACCATTCATACCGCTTGCTTTAATGACCCGACAATTGTCGAGTTGACAGTCGAAGATCCTAACGAAGCGTTTGACGCGCTCCGCGATACCGCAGATTTCCACATCCTGCGCCCAGAATTCCTTAAACACAACGTTAATATCAATCCCGACCCCTACGCAGAACTTCCTAAGAAACAGCGACCCCGTCGCGTCCCAACATCTGCCCTCATCCCCACAAAACTTCTCCACGATATCCGTTCCACTTATAAGATCGCCTCAACACAGTTTGCTCACGTCTTGGAAATGTTTCTCTTGGGCGAGATTCCCACCAAGAATCGTCATGCTGGTGGCGCAAATATGTCACGTCTATTGATAAAGAAATATAATGCTGCGGACCCGAACGAGCGGCGGTACTACTGGTGGCGCATGCTAGTTAAGCAGCGTCTCTTCAAGCGCTCTCGCGATCTTCTCATCCAGCTAGAGATGAGCGACCGTATTGAGAAGCTTGAGGAGACAGTGACCAACGTGGAGGAAGGGTACGAATCATTAATCAAGGTCTTCACTGCCAGAGAGGAGGCTCTAAAGGCTAAGCAAGAGGAATCTGGTGAATCGCCTGAAACTGCAGTCCTAGAAGACTCGGCCGCAAGTTCCAGTGATACCCCCGCCAGGGATCAGCGCGCTAAGAGAAAGTTCACTGTAGAGGATGAGGATGAGGAGGACGAGGGCGAACTGGAAGCTTCAAAGCGTCCGAAGGTGTAAATTACGAACTTCTCCCCCCATTTGGGTTTCCAAAGTTGACGCATGTGGCTTAATTATCCAAAGGAAACTTCAATAAATGTAATATCAGCACTTACGAGTTGTTCAAATCCATGCTATCATCTGTATATTGTTTCCACTAATGAATCGCATCATTCATGGTAGCTGGGTGGGTCAGTGACTATTGTCTGCAGCCTGTCTACAGTCATAGATGAAGTACTATCCAGGCTCATCAGACTTCTCGTTCTTAACGCTATAACTGTTGAGAGACCAGCCGTGGATGATGCTATCGTATTCGGCGATTTGCTTTTAACGTCGCTGGTAACCTTGGGATTCATTTCTTTCTGGAGGGGTGCGCTTCTTCTAGGTTACGGTTTGGTTGTCCAACAAGCTCACCGACGTATTCAAGTGCTCGCCTAAATCTTGTAGCTCAGCCTGCATGAGCTTCGACTTGGGATATGGACTTGAGTCAGTTTCAGAAGGCAGGGTCGGCTCCGGTTGTCGGATGACGGGTAGGTTATAGTCAAGTGAAGGGGCCAGGTCCGGTTCCTGAGTTCTTCCTTCCCACCATTGTTATCATTTGAACCTCCGCGCTGCGGACCTATAAGCCAGTAGGGTACGTCTTCCTTCATGCCGTGCGGCTCGATCCACTCGGCGTCGACGACAATACATAGTATTGCGACAGATTGTGAATATCAGCGCAATTACAAGACCCACAATGATAACTACAAAACAGATTCTGGTAAACCTCTTAGCAGTGAATTGAGGTGAGATATCTGGTTCTCGAATAGGCACAACCTGCTCGGAGTAGAATGATCTGACTGCAGATGACTGTGTAAGGCTTCATAGGATGTATCACTCGGTCCCATATATTGTTCTGCCTCCTGCAGTAGGGTAGACTATTCAGTATATCGACTACACCCGGAGTGCCAGGAACATGCTCCACCAGCGAGTGACGCAGGGAATGGGCCAAAGCTGTATCAATCAATCAAGATTCTATTAGCCTGTTCGAGCCTAACTACTGAACGTCTAGCTATGCAGGTGGGCCAAAGCTGTATCTTATCTCGCGGATTGCAGCGGGGACAGACATGTAGGACGCCTTGGCCTTACACCCAAGACTTCTGCAATCTCTCCAGCTTGTCCGAAAATCGGCGCAATCATGGAGCAACATCTTGTGAATATCTTGGCCTTCCTGGTTTATTTCTTAAGCAAGTGGAACATCATACGAAGAGGCCAATGGCTTGAACTGGCTTTGATACAATAGCGTATACGAAGCCATGCTCTCTTAGAGGGCTGGTGGGCTAATAAAGTCTGAATTAGAAGATGCAATCAAAAGAAAATGTAACGCTAGATTCGCTGCCCACCGCATGTAGCGGTTGAGCTACATGTATGCGACTCAGCTTGTATAGTATATCAACAGTATGGTTGTTCTGCAACTCCTATAAAGATGAACTCCCCAACCAAGGTGAAACAGATAAAGGAGCAAACTGACCCAAAAAGGAGAGCATATGGAAATGGTTGCACTCTGGGCTGATCACTGTCCAGGGCTATTTATTCTCCAGTAAGGGAATAGTAATTATTTAGTAGTCGGCGGATCTCGGACTTGCTTTTCTCCGGATCTCCAGGTTGCGATCACCGCCACCGCTGGAAGCTCGTGCGGAGCTTCTTGGTTATCAAATTCACCACACCGAGGGCCCGCTCTTCCCCTCAAAATCGCCGTGCTTCATATTTTGTCGCTATTATTCGGTGTCGCTTTATTAGCGGATACCTGATTTGGCTAAGAACGACTGTATCTTAGCCTTCGCCCGCTTCACTTTCGGATATTAGCCTAACCTTTCATATTGCCCACACTCATCAATCCCCGAAATGGTATTTACCCGCCAAACTAAAACTGGCCATCTTGGTCTTCGGATTTGCGATTACTGACGGTATACTACCCATAGTTACCCCTAGGATTGCTCACGGCCGCCCAGGGCCATCCAATGCTCGTGGAACTTAAGAATGGCGAAACGCTGAATGGACATCTTGCCAATTGCGATAACTGGATGAACTTAATACTCAAAGAGGTTGTCCAGACCAGCCCAGAGGGTGATCGGTTCTTCAGGCTGCCGGAAGTCTATATCAGAGGAAACAATGTAGGTTGTTTAAGGCGCGAGTGGTCTTGGCGAGTACTAATACGTGTTAGATTAAATATCTACGGATCCCTGAAGAGATTATAGAAATGGTCAAGGAACAACAGCAAAATCAGCCTCCGAACCGCAATCGTGGTGGACACTCTCACCGGGGCGACAGAGGTGATCGGGGAGGCCGTGGTGGTCGTGGACGTGGCCGCGGCCGCGGCCGAGGTGGCAGTTAAAGATAGGTCCAGAACGTGATGACAAGCGGCGTGAGAGAAAGATAGATACCCCGATGAGATGATGTAGGTAATTCATGAGGTCCGTTGGGCGGGTTAGTCGAGCATGATCCTGGCGTATCTGGCTCTTGTTTTGTTTCAATGGGAAATGTGCCATATGAAATACTCTTTTTTTTTTTTTTTTTTTTTAATATCCTTACTGGATAACTTCTCTGTATAGAATACAACCAAAAGAAGAAAACAAAAAAAAAGAATACTTGTAAAGTGATCGTGCTGGTCTATGTTGCGCAGCTATGCTCGCTTCATCCACTATCGTATCAAGCCATGGTACTTGCATGTCACGT